GTTTGGAGACGAACCGGGAGGGAGGAGGATAGAAGTCGTCACTTTACCCTCCGTCACCTCGGCGAGGGCAGGTGCCCAGAGGCTCGAAGGAACCCGGCGCTGGGATTTTTGGGAGCCCTGGGCTCGGAGAAACAGAAATACCAGATTGAAGGAAAAAGCGAGAGAATGGGAGCTTCACCCTGAAGAGGTCGCCTCTGATTGGGCTGGGATGGGAGGGGAATGTGGATTGCCTAATGTGACGAGAGAATACCTAGGGGTCTGCCCAGTGCCCTGAAGGCTGTGGTGGGGTGTATTCTCTGTCTTAGGGCCAGGCGTCAGAGGGATACCAGACGATTACGGTAGCCCAGCCTAAGATGGTGCCCCCGGAGAGAGACTTACGCTTAGGTGAGCCAGTGGTGGGTGTGGAGAGCCAGCACCGGAGAAAACGGACGAGGGCGAAGTGTCAGCAGTGGGAACCGCCGAGAGAGTGAAGGAGGTCCGAGAAGGAGTCCCCTCGGGTAAGGGGTGAGCTCCTCCCGGCTTTCGGCACCAATGAAAGAACAACAGGACCTGAGCTGACAGTTCACCAGAGAAGTTCCGCTTTATTCGGGGGAGAAGCATACATTTATATAGAGCCGGATTCCGGGAGAGGGTGGTTAGTACACAGGGCGGTAGTTGATTGGCCGGGGGTGGGTAATGATTTCTGATAGGCTGCACCTTGGCGCCGGCGAGATTGTTAGGACCCGGAAGAAAAAAGTGCCATGTTTTAGGGAGTGCCTCCTTTGGTGTCTTCTATGGGGCCTTACAGATACTGTTTAGTTTCTTCATATGTATTTGTTTGTAACTAAGATTTTTTTTTTAACTTGGGAATGTTTAGACACATAGGCGAGTTGCTCAAAATCATTTTTTCTGGCTATTTATATCTGAAGGTTATGCTAATGTGGCTTACGGTAACAGTGATTTTTCAACTTAGGAGGGGAGAGAAGTACCCTGTTTGAATCTGAAATGCAGGGATCTCTTTATTTCCCTTTGCCCCCTTTTGATCTTACCTTGATGTACAATGTAGCAGACTTAATTATCTGTTGAAGTTTTTCCTCTTTTAATATTAGAGCTATAACGTCCTTTTGCCTTGATTTACAAGTGATCAAATGAATATTTATCACAAATTTCAAGTGTTTTTCAAAGATTGTGTTATAGAATATACTCTTTTAAAGTTACTTTTTAATAGGGAGCATGATTCTTAATTGTTGTTTCATGCTAAGGAAGACTTAGCTGAATTGAAGATGCTTATGCTTAGCTCAGACAGAAAAAACTAGAGTCCTGAAGAATAATCCCTGCATTAACATTTTCATGCCTTTTGAAAATAGGCTTGGATGCTGCAAAGCTATTCAGGTGCCTTTATGGGTACCAGAGAAAGATTCTAAGACTCTTAAATTAGTTAGAATTAATTTGTAATTCACGATAAAGTTAATTGACTCATAGTTAAAGCGATTAGTTCATGTTTTACATTCATTTGCTAATGAATTTTTTCTAATTCTTTTCCAGTGCATTTTTTAGATTGCTGTTTATCCAGTGTAGAACTTTATTACTTACAGAATTCGAAACTAGTCTTTGCTTCTGGGCAAGTAGTCTTTGTCCTAGGGAGAAATGCATGAATTAAATATATAGCCTGTTTGCAGTGCCAAGAGAGCATTTGGTCAAACTAAAAATTAAAACTGTAAAAAATTATTTAGAAACCTCTCTGGTTGTCTTTATAAATCAACAAGGCAAATACTGAAAATGTGCCAAATTTTACTAGAACCATTGTGTATTGACCCCAATTATAGCAAAGGGAATAAATGTATTTGCTTTCTCTGATATTGTAGCATTGGGACCAGAGAAGCATTTAGTTTTGTATAATGATTTTTTTGTTATTTGGCTTTTTTTTGAATTACAGAATGAATAAGGCAAACATTTGCTTTGAACAAAAATAAATAGAGTATATCTGACCACTACTGTGATGAAATTTTTTAATGAAGTGTAAATGCAGTGTGGCAATTTTCATATTCTAACAAGATATCTAAAATGATATTCTACCTATAAGCAAAATATTTGGCTTAGTTACTTTATGCAAATTAAGATGCTTATAAATACTGTATAATTGATATTTTTTAATTTGCAGAATGGTAATTTTAAAAAGTTTTTATTGTTGGGTAGATACACATTACTGTTTGGGGGAGAAATTATAAAATTTAAAAAAATAATTTGTATTAATTTGTCAACTCTTTGATGTATGGTTTTCCATAACAAAACACCTCCATATGTGTTGTCACATTTGAGTTTTATAGTTTTATAAACTAGGGAGAAAAGACCTTACAATTTCCACTTTACACATTTTAAAACAGAGGCTTAAGGAAGAATTTGATCAAGTTCTTATGAGTTTTACTTAATTGTTTTAATTGATGTGATTAAAAGTTTTAAACTTTTAAATTATTTGTTTAAAATAGAATAGTCTATCTTAAATAGAAATACTCTTAATTTGTTGCACTTACTACGTCTTTTATATTTGTTTTAGTATCTTTCAATATGTGTTTAGGCCTCTGAGTCACACTGGCAAGAACATTAGAAACATTGCTTTAGACTTTTAAAAAAATATATTAAATGACACTTAGTGATCTGTGTTGGAAGAAGTGGGTGTTAGCCTTGATAGTGTTGTATGAGACCTGATTTGTTGTTGGGTTAAGATTGAAAGCAAGATGTGAAAAAGTTGACCATTAATTTTGTTTTGCATTTTTGTTGCCTGCCCTCTGGTGGAGAAGTTAGTGAAATCAACAAACGGTGTATGAAAAGTTGGTGTAGTGTGTACACACACACACACACACACACACACACACACACACACGAGGGTACTTCAAAAAGTTTGTCTAAATTATCTTTCAATTCTATTTTTCCACAAACTTTGAAGTTCTCTTGTATAACTGATTCATTTAGTGTATGAAAATTTAAATATGTTAAAAATTTTAGGATAGTCTTAGTCTATAAATTTTGGAGGGGATAACGTGGGATTAAAGTTTTAAGAACGCATAAGTTTTTTAAAGATATGCAGATTTGCCTTACTAATTATGTTTCTCTGTTTCTCAAAATGCCCTTTTGTTATTTCTAAGGGTCTTACTGAAGTATCACAAAGTTTAAAAATGGAAAATGAAGAGTTTAAGAAGAGATACAGTGATGCTACATCCAAAGCTCTTCAGCTTGAGGAAGATATTGTGTCAGTGACACATAAAGCAATTGAGAAAGAAACTGAACTAGACAGGTATTTCTGATGCTTTTAAAAAATAGCTTTAATGTTTTAACAAAGTTTTTTGTCTATATTAATGTTACTTTATCTTAACTCAGTTTAAAAGACAAACTCAGAAAGGCACAGCATGAAAAAGAACAACTTGAATGTCAGTTGAAGACGGAAAAGGATGAGAAGGAACTTTATAAGGTACTTTACTCTTTCAGTTTCTGTTAGTTATCTGTTGCTTCATAGCAAATTACCCCCAAACTTAGGGGCTATAATAGGTCACGAATTTGGGAGTGCTTTGGCTGAGTGCCTCTGGCTCTTGGTCTCTCGTGCAGTTGCAGTTAGCTGGAGCCTGATTGGGGGCTAGAGAATCTGCTTTCAAGATGGATCACTCACATGGCTTTTGGCAGGAGACCCATTGGCTTCTATCTACATGGCCTCTCCATAAGCTGCTTTGAATATCCTCATGACATGGCAGCTTCCTTCAGAGAGAGAGCAGTCCAAGAGAGCAAGGTGGAAGTCGCAATAGCGTTGTGTATTGCCCCAGAAGTTAGTTTTTAGGGAATTAATTTGCTGGTACTTTAGATACTTAGCAGGTACTATATAATAAGTCATAGAGGTCTAAGGGTAACAAGATGCTTGCTTGTCGGAATTGACATAACCAAGTATTTTCCCCTTTTAAGAACTTACATATCTTAAGGAGAACATTAATTTATTTCAGTGATGATTATGTTTTGGAGTTTGACTTTTGGAATAATCTTCAGGGATGGTCATTTTATAGAAATATCTTCACTGCTAACAAATCTTCACCTGGCGAAGTTTTTCAAAGTGATCTTGAAATATAGGATAGTTAGCTAGATTATCGATAACGTTCTGGTTGCAAATTGAGATTTGTTTTCTTAAGTGACTCATAGGTATTTCCTGAAGGCAGTTCCCGGTGAGGAATTTCAAGAACATTCTGAGTTAAGTCAGTTTCATGTTGTTATTTTCATGAGCTGATGATTATGAAAATTAGGTAGTGTTTTAAAAGTGATGCTGTAAAGGTATTGGTTGCTGATACCTTCAGAGAATTAGGAGTTATATTCTATCCTTGTGAACAGGAATTAGTCCTTCAGCATTATGGACATTTAAAAAGTAAAGTGCAAGAAGTATGTTAATTCGTTTCCCTCTAGTACTCTTAGAAACAAAGTACTCTAGTACTCTAATACCAAAGGAACATACCTTTGATAGTGGACACTAGGTATCTGTACTCTTCATACTTCCAGTTATATGGAATTTGATTTGTATAACTGTTATGAGCAAATCAGCAGCAGCCAAAGTTAATGGGAAAATCAATATAATTGTGTTAATTAATCAACAAATATATTTTTAGGCACATGGGAAGTAAACAACGTACTTTTCAGAAGGAAAAAATTGAATTGTTTGAGATGTTCTTTTTGATTGTATCCTTTTCTAGTTTTTGATTGTACCTGTTTCTAGTTTTCCGGAATCTGGTCATGCACTCATATCTGCATATGCCTGTAACATAATCTTTTTTCCCAAAAGAACAACCAAGTCCGTTTGTGTTTTTAAAGGGAATCCAAATTATCAAATCAAAGGAAAAGATATAGAGATCAGGTAATGTAGTTAGACCTTAGAATTTATCTCTATGGAAAATAGAAAAGCTTAGAAAAGCTGTGTTCTGCTCCTACATGCTTAGCGAGTCATTTGGCAGAACTTGGGTCTCCTGACTCCTAGTCTAGTGCATCTTCCCTTCCTTTGATCACCTTTGAGTTACAGATAAATGGTATTTTAAACTTTGTAACTTAGCTTACGAAGTAAGAAAGAATATTCTTCACATTTTCAAACACTGTTTCAGGTACATTTGAAGAATACAGAAATAGAAAATACCAAGCTTGTGTCAGAGGTCCAGACTTTAAAGAATTTAGATGGGAACAAAGAAAGTATGATTAGTCATTTCAAAGAAGAGATTGGCAGACTGCAGTGCTGTTTGGCTGAAAAGGAAAATCTGCAAAGGGCTTTCCTACTTACCACTTCAAGTAAAGTATGTACTTTTGTAATATGTGTTATATGTATTTGAAGATTGTTAAACATTCCTCTTGTATGTATGCAATATGATTTTATTTTTAATTCCTTCCCCCAACTTTTTCTTTTGAAAATGTCAAACCTACCGAAAAGTTGGCAGAACAGTGAATACTTAATGTACCCTAAAATATTTTGCCATCCTTTGTTTTATGTCCCCCATTTATATGCCTTTTTTTCCCTCAGCCATTTGAAAGTCAGTGGCAGGCATTATGATTATCCCCCCTAAATACTTTAGCATGTCTCTCTATGAACAAGTATATTCTTCTGTATAACCATAATACCATTAGCACTCAAAGAATTTAACATTGATTGGAAAATATTCATTCTTGATGATCTTAGGTTTGATAATTTGTGTAAGTTTATGTCTGCCTGTCTGTATATAGGTGCCTTTCCTTTCCCTCTTTGTGATTATTAAGGAATCTGAGGGAGAATACTTTGAGATTATGGGAACATCCTATTCTCCAACAGCCTGTCACTCAATAGTTTTATTATCCTTTGATGATCCTCACTTGTATTAGCTATTCGTTAATGGTTGCAAAATGGTGATTTAAAAAAATTCTGTCATTCTTTCTACATTTAATGAATGTAGTAGATATTCTTCTATAAGGAGGAGGTTCCTGTTAGTCCCTACACTTTTTTTTATATCACTTTGGACTTCTGTATTGTACATTATCATCAGTATTCTTTTTTAAAATTTTTATTGAATCATAATCGATTATACTTATTTTTGGGGTTCAACGTTGAGATATATTGATCAAATCAATAGTACTAGCATATATATTGTTACAAATCGTACTTATTCCTTATGCCCTTTGTCCAATCTCTCCCCATCCCTCTTTCCCTCCCCCCTCCCCCCTCTAATTACCCTAGATTTCTTCTCTCTTTTTGAAAGAGTAATGGTTACTCTATTGATTTGTTGGCTAGATGATCTGTCCAATGCTGAGAGGCGTGTTCAGGTCCCCCAATATTATCATAGAGCAGATGCTGCTTTTGTCACTCTGGAATGGGCTTTGTGGAGAGAGACATCTTCTTCTTTTCTTTGGTTTCTGCTGGTGTCTCTTCTTGTGTCAGTGCACTCCAGTGGCTGGCGGACCATCTGTGTGGTGGTTGTGGTGCTTAGCCACTTTTGCGGCAGCCATGGTGGCTGTGGTGGGCCACCCATATGGAGGTGATGTTTTTGGCATGCTCCTTGGCACTGGTGATGTGCCTGGTTGTGGGAGCAGGGGTCTGGTCCTGGGCAGGCCCCGAGGTGCTGGCAGTGTGCCTGGGCAGGAACTAACTTTTTGTTCTTTGCTTACTTCTGAAGTAGGGGAATTTCCTTTTGGGACAAGTACTTGAGCTCTGTGGATGAGCTAAATTGCTGCTTTGCGGCTGCTTCCCCAGGGAAGGCTTTTTGTGCAGCTCAGGTTATAATGGTTGACTTTACAGGTGCTTCTGGCTCTCTACAGACCTGGTGGACCTGGGTTGTGTAGAAACTCTGATCTGGGACTGAGTCTTTTCATCAAACTGCACCCCATGCAATTCTGTATTCCTGACCAGTCTCCTTTGAGTGGCCCTATGCTGATTGGGGTGCAGATCAGCTGTCCTTGCTGTGCCCAGTGTTCCCCTGGTGGGTCTGTTTCCTCCACTGCCTGTGCTGCACTTCCTATGGGATGGGCTGTTCTCTGGTCCCTTGCAATGACTCACTGGCTTCTTAGTGACTCCTTTTTTTTCAGTTGTTGTGGCTCCTTGCTCCTTTGTGGGTTCACGGGAACCCTATTAGTGGTCTTGCTGGCCTGGGGCCACCAAGGCCCCTTTCTCCCCTGCCACCTCCAAGCAGCTCCTTGCTGTGCCCAGTGTTCCCCTGGTGGGTCTGTTTCCTCCACTGCCTGTGCTGCACTTCCTATGGGATGGGCTATTCTCTGGTCCCTTGCAATGACTCACTGGCTTCTTAGTGACTCCTTTTTTTTCAGTTGTTGTGGCTCCTTGCTCCTTTGTGGGTTCACGGGAACCCTATTAGTGGTCTTGCTGGCCTGGGGCCACCAAGGCCCCTTTCTCCCCTGCCACCTCCAAGCAGCTCCATCCGAAGGCCACAGCTGCAGCTTTTGCCGGCTCCTTCTCTGTGCGCACAGCAGCTCCAGTCTTAAAGCAGCTGTGGCATGAAACGGTTGGAGCAGTTTTTTCTTTCTCTCATCATGGCTTCTCCTGCCTTCATGCACTCTGTCAGTCTTTCCTCCTCTTCCCCTGAGCTCTAGCAGCCCCAGCTTGGCTGTTGTTGCTTTTTTATAGTTGTAAATTGGTTGATTTGTGGGAGAGAGTGATGCTGGGGACTGTCTATTCTGCCATCTTGACCAGAAGCCTCCAGTATTCTTTTTTATACCCAAATTTAGCCAGAGGAGTCTTTTCAAGCCTGCTTTTGTGTCTTTTGATATGTCCCCATCATGCCTTGAGTATTTCCTTGCTTTATGGTACAGCTGTGTATTCCAGCTTCAGTTTCTGTCCCAGACCTGGTGTTACCACTTCTCTGAGGAGCTCTGGTTCTTTTAGTTAGGGAATGGTATTTTGAAATCAAGAACTGGATCCTATTACTACTAGGAGGCTGTTGCTTCTTTGCATTTCCAGTGGACTTAAACATTTTTTTTTTCCTTTTTGTCTTTTTTACTGACCGGTAACGGGATCACAACCCTCGGTGTCACGCCCGTACCGGGGACCGGCAACGGGATCGCAACCCTCAGTGTTGCGCCCGCACCGTGCTCAGCCAGTGAGCGGGAACGGGTCTCCACATGGGATCCGAACCCTCCGCAGGAGCGCCGCCGCGCTCCCAAGCGGCGCACTCTCCAGTGCGCCACCGGGCCGGCCTGACTTAAAAATTTTTTAATTTGTAGGGATATTTTCAGTTTAAATCCAGTACCAAAGGGTCTTCTTTACTTTTCTTCCTCCATTTCATATTTACGAGTATATATCTCTTTATGGAGTGTGAGGACTTCTAGTTTCTAAAACATTATTATTCATGTGTTCTACCCAGCCACCCAGTCTTACACACCAGTACTTTTAGAATTATCACATCAATGCTACTTCCAACAATAAGTGTACTAAATAAAGTTAAGGTCTCTTTCAGGCTCTTTTTTCTTAAAATACATTTCACTAAGGATGTACAGAATGCTGTGTTCAAAAGTTACTTGAATTAATTTTTTAACATACTTACGTTATAAGTATGAAAGTTCAGTTTACTTTTTTGTTTATGTTTAATTTTAAGATTTGCTTTTATTCTCATAACCTTTTGTTTTAATTTTATTTTTTGAACATGTAAAATAGTTGTATTATTCAAAAATCAAAATGATATAAAAAATTTACTTAATAAGCTTACACTCTTTATCTGCTTCTTAAAAAAAGGTGGCATACTCATTTGCATCTTGCTTTTTTCATTGACTGTAAATTGGCAATCACTCCATATCAGTTCATAGAGCTCTTCCTCATTTGTTTAAATAGCTACATAATATTCCATTGTGAGGATTTAGCTTAATTTATTCATTATCTCTTATGGATGAATATTAGGTTGTTTTGAGTATTTTTCTATTGAATATACTCAGACACAGTTTATTTAATACCTAAAATGCATGATATTTAGAATTAACAATTAAGCCCCAACTTGCTTTTTTAATGTAGAAGATTACAAATGCAAATGTAAGAAGTATATTTTATTATTTGCTATTTAATAAGATGGTAAAAATTTCTCTAAGCATCTTTTTTCTATTTAAGCAAGACTTATGTGAGGAAAAGCATAGTTATGGAAGTACCTTGGAAAAATGGTTACTGATTGCTAAAACTTTTTAAAAAATTGTAAAAGCAATGTGAGGTCATGGTTATAAAAAAATTCAAACAGTATATGAAGATACAAAGTGAAAGTAACCGTCATCCTTTCTGAGGTTTATCATTATATAAATTTTTAATTTTTCTAGAAATCTTCTATGAATGTACATATATATTTGTATTTCAACACAAATGAGAATATACTTAATATTCTAAAACTTCTTTGCTTTTTTTTTCTTTTTTTAAATGTATAGAATGTCTGGATTATTTTGCAATATGAGTACACATGTAGATCTTTCTCATTCATTATAACAGCTGTATAGTATTCCTTCTTTTCAGTTAACAGTTGTGTAGCATGTTGTTTTAGTTTACAGTCTTTAGATTTTATAAACTGCTGCTGTAAACATCCTTATACAGATATCTAGGCACATGTATAAATCTGTTGAATAAAATGTTCCAAGTGGAGTTGCTGGGTCAATGGATATCAAAATTTTGATAGTTGTTTTCAAACTGCCTTTCAAAAAATGCTGTGTTGATTTTTCTTCCTACTAACAGTGTATGAGATATATTACTCTATGTAATGGCTACATAGACTTTCATTATGTGAAGATAGTATATAGTAGTTTATTTATAATAAATTTTCAGATTGTTAGGCATTTTAGGTTCTTAATAATTTTTCATTATTTTAGTATTTTATTTAGTCCCTGTAAAGCTAAGCCCATATCCATACCCTTTAATTTCTTAGAAACTTATGAAAAAAAATTGCTAGATTAAAATCCGTGAGAATCTTTAAGATGTTGGTGAGTGTTGCAAAAATCTGATGAGAAAGGTTATGTAAGCCCGACTATCTGCGAATGTGCCAGTTTTCCCTAAACCCATCCAAATACTGAGGTGTAACTGGTTTTTAATCTTTGTCACTGTGAAAGAAAATGAATGGTATTTGTTTAAACTTATTTATTTATTTGATTGTTGAGTTGAATTTTTTAAAGCTTAATAGCCATTTCTTTAAAAAAATTTTCATGTTCATACCTTTCATCAATTTTTGTTGGGGGGGGTGGTGTTTTTTTCTTTTCTTATTGATTAGAAAAGTTGCTTATATCAGAGTAGTAGTATACCTTTCTTGAGAATAGTACAAACAGTTTCTTTCTTGTTCTTTTTTTCTCTTTTGCTCTGTAAAAGTTGACAATATTTTATAGTTAGATCTGTTAGTGTTATGCCTAAATAGGTTTTGTCCACCCTAACATAACTAAATAACCATTTACATTTCAAGAGACTAACAATTTAAAAAGCAAGATTGGGTTGCATTTTTCTAATTTTGCATTATTTTTGGTACAAAGATTAAAAACAGGACGGTAGAATAAACTAGATTTATTGTGCTCATAATGTCTGGCTAATAATCTTATCATGGCAATTTTAACTTTTTAGAGATAATTTTAGGTTTCTTAAGAGGTGCTAATTACCTTTCATTTCGCCAGTGCTTCACTCTTAGTATTTGTATATCAATATTTTGTTTTTAGAATAAATTCTAAATCTAGTCTGTGTTTTCATAATATTATGGAATGGTAGATTAAGGTTATATTGGATGTCTTTTAGGTTAGAAAGCAGGAAACATCTTTTAGCCAAAATTTTTGGTGTTGCAAGAATTTTTAAAATTATTTTTACTGATAATCATAAAAAGCAAGGGTCATCAGTTCCAGCTGAGGAGATTCTGGGGGGCAGGGGCTTTCATTTGAGTCTCAGTTTTTTTTTTTTTTGTCTTTTTCTGTGTCCGGCAACGGATCGCAACCCTCAGTGTCACCCCCGTACCGGACCGGGACCGGCAACGGGATTGCAACCCTCGGCGTTGCTCCCGCGCCTCACTCAGCCAGTGAGCGGGAACCGGTCCGTATGTGGGATCCGAACCCTCGGCGGGAGCGCCACCGCGCTTCCCAAGCGGCGCACTATAGCAGTGCGCCGCCAGGCCGGCCCCTGAGTCTCAGTTTAACAAGGGCTTTAAGCACTGGGTATGTCACCTGCCTTCTTATACCTCACATTCTTCATGTATAAAGTAGTAGCAGTGATACCCCATACACAGGGATGTTGCATGGAGAATCTAAAACTAAGTCATATTTCAAGTTTTCTATAGTCATGAGTAGAAAAGCAATATTTAAAAATTTGCATCTGTTGAAAAATGTGTAAAAATCGTTTCTGCTTCTGTTTTTCATTTAGTTTGATTACAAATATATTTATCTGCCTTTCTTCAGGAAGATACATTTTTTTTAAAGGAGCAACTACGTAAAGCAGAGGAACAGGTCCAGGCAACTCGGCAAGAAGTTGTCTTTTTGGCTAAAGAACTTAGTGATGCTGTAAATGTGCGAGATAAAATGATGGCAGATCTATATACCGCACGCTTGGAAAATGAGAAAGTAAAAAAGCAGTTAGCTGATACAGTGGCAGAACTTAAACTAAATGCTGTGAAAAAAGATCAGGTAAAGCAAGTTAATTTTCAATTTCCATTTTGATCAGAAAAACCACCATAAACTCACAGAAGAGAGTAAAATGTGTTAAAATAAGTCAGGTCGGATTCCTGAGCAGAGAATTTAAAATTTCCATTCATTTTGTTTAGTCATTATAACTTCTTGGGTTGAGATTAAAGTGTATTTTAAGAAAAAAGTCTGTATGTGAAATTCCTAGTGGTCAGTAAAAGCTGCTGTTATTAATGAAGTATTTTGATGTCAGGTATGTATTGCTTTGTTTGGAGTTTCTTATTTACTAGCTGTATAAAATGGCATTATGGTTAAGAGAGTAATAATTGCTCTTCAGAAAGTGGATTATTTTTCTCTAATTTTTTAGTGAACCTTAGTCCTAAGAATGTTAAGTTGGATTTATTAGGAGAGCCAGTGTGGCTCTGTAGCCAAAACACCAAAACAAATAAACTGTAAAAGCCAGAAAGAAAAAAGAGAAAATGAAATTGGGATTTACTTGTACATTATGATGTATCAGATTTTTATCTTTTTCTTAGAGGAAGTATTTGTTTTTTTCTCAGGAAAAGAGTGATACACTGGAACATGAATTGAGAAGAGAAGTTGAAGATCTGAAACTCCGTCTTCAGATGGCTGCAGATCATTATAAAGAAAAATTTAAGGAATGCCAGAGGCTCCAAAAGCAAATAAACAAACTTTTAGACCAATCAGTATGTATCATTGAATTCATACATAGTAAAATATTTCCTTTATTAATATTTTTGCTTGCAAATCAAATTTATAGTATTTTAAATATCAGTCTTTTGAATATAATTCATCTCTGCTTGATTTCAAGACATTGGCATGATATGGTAATGGTAATTCTTTTTGAAAAATCTGTAATTCTTATTTACTGTAGACCCAATAAAGGAAGCAAGGGCAGCAGAAATTGTAAGAACAGCAGAGATCACCCTTTTTTCTAGACCGTTTCCCTCTAAGTTTTCGATGGCTGTCTTTGTCATTTAAAACTTAGTAGGTATTGAATCTCTCTTGTGACGACACTTGTCCTAATTAGAGTTTACCATTGATCACCTCTAGAGTCTTCAATGGTTTTTCAGTTGTCTTTGGTGAGCTCTTCCATTATACACATATCCACTAGATTAGGAAGAGTTAAAGAGTAACTAAGCCTTTTGTATTCCATTCGAGAATAGATATGCAGATTTGTAATAAAGCAAAGAAAATGTTTTTGTTTTGGGATGTGTGTGTTTTAATGAGGGTCCTTAAATTGTACTTTTATACAAGGCTTGCTATGTGAGGGAGTCCTGGAAGTGTGGAAGAAACATATTTAAAACCTGAAATTGAAAGTGGTACCACAGTGCTCTTATACCTGTATGATGCAAATATTTTCCTGGTCTGTCTTTTTGAAATCTGAAAGGAGACAAAGCAAGGAATACATGTCATATTCCTACATGTCGTAAAGTAGGAAGGCTTTTGTGAAAAAACATTATACTTGAAGTATGACCTACTTGTATAGATTTTGGTTTGGGTCTTTTTGAGCACTTTATGACTTTATAGTAGACAATTTGTAAGATTGTGAGATTTTTTTTTTTTTTCCTTCCTTTGGTGGCTGGCTGGGATCTGAACCTTTGACCTAGATGTTCTAACACCATGCTCTAACCAACCGAGCTAACAGGCCAGCCTGAGAATGTGAGATTTCTATTAATGACTAGTTTTGATGATATCACAAGAGAAAAAGCAAAATAAATTATTTCTCTTCTACAGCATTTAGGTCAGTTAGGACAATGATGTGTGTAACTTTAGTCTTTGTTGGCTTTTAAGATAAGAGCAGCTTTGTGGATTTTTAAGATTTCTTTTTACAACTTTTATTTAAATAGTTACTGCAGGAAGGAAACATGACTCGTTCAGTGATTGATTTAACAATTTATTGTTAACATTTTTAATAGGCCAATAATAATAGTGTCTTCACAAAAAAAATTGGAAATCAGCAGAAAGTGAATGATGCTTCAATAAACACAGACCCAGCCACTTCTGCCTCTACTATAGATGTAAAGCCACCATCTTCTGCAGGTAAAAGTCTTTTACACTTTTTGTGTACTGTGTCCTCTCTGAAAAGTATTTTTCAGTATCTTTTATATGCCTGTATACTTATTTATGTACTTTTTATACTTGTTTACTTATATTTTGTTTTTTAAATTTTTGGCAGTTGGCTGGTATGGGGATCCAAACCCTTGACCTTGGTGTTATAACACAGTGCTCTAACCAGTTAACTGGCCAGCTTGTTGTTTACTTACATTTTATACTGAAATTTTTATATACTTGTACTGCTTTCTTTTATGTGTAAAAATTTTAGGGTGCTTATAAAGATCCTTATGTTATGAGTGAGGGAATTAAGGCAAAGAAAGAATAAGGGTATAAATATAAGATAAAGTCATGCATGTGATGGATATACAAAATGTGAGTGTAAACTAGTATTTATCTTCACTAGAGTATTCACAAGTGTTAAAAATGAGCTGGTGCTTGTAAGCACTTATTTAGGCTGTGTAGGACAAAAGCTAAGAATTAAATTTTTACTTTATATTCCATTAAATGCATGGAATTTTGAAGCGTTTTGTTTGTGTTATTTTAATTTTATAATTCTATGGGGGGAAATGTTCCCATTTCTTCTAATGTTTCTCTCTCTCTCTCTCTTTTTTTTTTTTTTGGCTGTTTTGGATCAATAGGTTACTTCCCTCATTAGTGTACCTGTTGGCTGAGTTAAATTTTCATTAATTAGTTTATTAACTTATAGAACAGATTAGAGAGATGTATAGAATACATGAATAACATGAAAAATTGAATTAACTCTATGTTTTTACCTGTCCTAATTTTTTTCCACTTTTATGTAAATCAAATATTTGACAATAATAAAAGTAAGTACTAGTGAAAGTATATCTACTTGTTTAATGTGTGGGGTTATTGATGTTTCAGGTCTTTTTAAATGTAAATATTTAATTAGGTTCAGTCACTGTATTTCTGTTTATCCTCTGTAGTACCTAGAGTGGTGTTACAGAGTATTTACTTATAAAAGACTTAGTAAATGGTAATGAAGGACTAGAAAAATGGTTTAAAATGTATTCTCAAAGGGCTGGCTGGTTAGTTTCATTTGGTTAAGACTGCAGTGTTATAATGCCAAGGTCAAGGGTTCAGATCCCCGTACTGGCCAGCTGCCAAAAATAAATAATAAATAAAATGTTATCTCAAAGAGTATAGCTTTCCTATTTATCCTGTCTATTCAGTTGTGTAAGGAAAACAAATTTTATGTGATTTTGGAATTATTTTTAGCAAATTAAAAAAACAGTAATAAAAGAATGATTCTTTCATTATTAAACGCAGGACCTGGTTTTGACTAAACTGACATTTCAGAATTCTTACGCAGAGCTTGTAAATCCTTCTTTGTTTATTCACGATATGAATAGATGCTTTTCTCCTTTAGTATTCCATTTATTATATTTCACCATATACTGACCCTTAAGTTTTTCTGAACAGCAAGATAATATAAGAAGCAAAGTAACTGTTTAACAATCTTATTTTCTGCATTGTTGTACAGCAGAGACAGATTTTGACATGGTAACAAAGGGACAAGTCTGTGAAATGACCAAAGAAATTGCTGACAAAACAGAAAAGTATAATAAATGTAAACAGCTCTTGCAGGTAAGCTAGCTCCCTTATAAGTGAAAGATAGATTTATCAGATGTAAATTGCTTAGCTTACCTTTGTTGTTTTGACTGATGAGTATCTTGGCATTTCTTTTCCATTCCCATATACTGGTATTTAGTTTCACTTGTGCTTTTGAGATCAGTGTCATTCAAACTTTTCATTTTGAAACCTTCTTGGTAGTATTCACTCCTATAGAATTTAAAGAACAAGGGAAAATGCTTCTCATTTATATTTGGTTTGGAATAGAGAGGAAAAGCTGTTTTGTGTATGTGACTTGTTTGTTTAATTAAATGGTTTTTTTTTGTGTGTGTGTGTTTCTGTGTGCATGTGGGGAGAGGAGGGGCAATTTTTAGAGCTACAGAATGAAATTCACATGTTAGTGTTACTGTAGTAATTAAAGTATTTTATGTTTCTTGATTATAAATAATATTAGGTCTTTTAATCAAAGTTTAAACTGAACATTTTGTTGTTATTGCTTTCCTTGAGAGGATCCTTCTGTAGAAGGGTTGATTAGAACAGTTTTGCCTTGAATTCAGAGTGGTTATTTTATAAGGGACTGAACTACATTTTCATTAAGGATGAAATAATTCTGGGTGAATGTTTTAAAAATTTTATTATATAGCAATATTATTGAAAGGAAGATAGAAAGATGTTTCTTCAAGCAAAGAACTTCCTCAAGATGCTTTTTTTTTTTTTTTAACAACTGTATTGAGGTACAATTGAAATCCAGTAAACTGTGCATATTTGAAGTGTGCAATTTTATCAGTTTTGACATATACAGTTGTGAAACTATCACCACAATGTCAAGATAACAAACATTTCCATAACCCCCTCCTCAGTTGTTTTGGTACCCGTTTTGCAATTGATCTCGTGCTCTATCCCAGTCATTAGGAAACTATTGGTAAAAAATTAGCATACCTTTTGTACAATTTTATAAAATGGAGTCATATAGTATTCATTCTTTTTTCTGCCCTCTTTCAGCATAATTGGGGTTTATCCATATTGTTGCTTGTATTGTTCCTTCCTTTTTATCATTGAGGTAGTAACCTATTGTATGGATGTTTCATAATTTGTTTATCCATTCACAATTCGTAAATTGTTCATCAATTCCATTTGATGGGCATTTAGGATTGTTTTTGGTTGTTACAAATAAAGCTTCTATGAACATTTGTATAAAAGGTCTTTTGTGGACATGGTTTTTTGTTTCTCTTGGGTGAATATGTAAGAGTGAAATGCCTGGGTAAAAGTGGTAGGTGAATGTTAAATCTGTAAGAAATTACCAAGTTGTTTTTCAAGGAGGTTGTGTCATTTTACACAGCCAGTCTAATGAGTGTGTAGTGATAGCTCATTCTGGATTTAATTTGCATTTCTGTAATGAATTGATGTTGAATATCTTTTCTCATGCTTGTCGGCCATTTATTTATCTTTTTTTGTGAGTGTTCAGTCTTTTACTATTTAAAAAACTGGTTTGTTCATCTTGAGTTGTAAGTGTTCTTTATTCTGGATACAAGACCTTTGTCTGATATATGTGTGGTGAGTATTTTCTCCCAGTTTATGACTTGCCTTTTAATTTCCTTAATGGTGTTTTTAGAAAAGTGAAATTTTAATTTTAATGAAGTATAATCAGTCTATTCTTTTATGTCTTGTGCTTTTTATGTTCTAGGAAACATTCTCCTGATCCAGGATTGTAAAGATTTTCTCCTATGTTGTCTTCTAGCTTTATAGTCAGGTTTTCCATTTAGATCTACAAACTGTTTTGAGTTGATTTTTATGTATGGTGTGACATATGTAATATACATGGTATGGATATTCAGTCGATTTAGCATTACTTGTTGGGAAGACTTTGCTTTCTCCATTGAATTGCTCAAAGCATTTTTTTTTTTTTGTCTTTTTTGTGACCGGTAAGGGGATCGCAACCCTTGGCTTGGTGTCGCCCACACTGCGCTCAGCCAGTGAGCGCACCATCCGAACCTGCGGTGGGAGCGCTGCCGCACACCCAAGCGCCGCACTCCCCCGAGTGCACCACAGGGCCGGCCCTCAAAGCATATTTTTAAACTTTCACTTTGAACAAGAGATTCAAAATGACATTGGCCTATTTACTTTTTTGTCATGATTTGTAATTCCTTCCTTAAGTTTTTCCGGGTTCTAGAGAAGAGCAGTGTGTAAGAAGTCAACCTAGAAATTGTTTTGGTCAGGAAATCCCACAGTTTTATTTGTCAGTGTTTGGAAAAACAGCATTACAAATATATAATTTTTATTTCCTCCTTTGCAAATATTATACATACTGTGAAATGTTATGGCTTTACAGAAATAAAGAATAGAAATTGTAAAAAATATCACCATGATCCTGATCCCCAGAGAAAGGATTTGATTTATATTTTTCTACACAACACTGATATTCATTGTATATAATTGTGTAAGACAACTTATAAACAAAAATGGGATTATACTATATGATACTCTGTTATTACAACTTGCTATTTTCAATTAATGTATCTTGAGATTTTTCCTTGTCAACTTATACATCTACCTCATTCTTTTAAATAGATATATACTTTTCCATTATGTTGGATATAAAATAATTTATCCAGTCTTCTGTTGATAGACATTTGGTTATTTCAATTTTTATACAGTTATAGCAGTGTTATAATAAACATTCAGCACATATCTAAGTATGTTTGTGTAGGTGTTCTTTATAGATTTAACATCTGATAATTGTACTAATTTCATTTAGGATGAGAAAATAAAATGCAGTAAATATGCTGATGAACTTGCAAAAATGGAGCTTAAGTGGAAAGAACAAGTGAAAATTGCTGAAAATGTAAAACTTGAACTCGCTGAAGTAGAGGACAGTTATAAAGTAAGTTTTAGTATTTATTGTATGTAAACTTGAGGCATAGTACCTGGTACTTTTGAAAATGTGTTATTTGTAATTTCTATCAATCTCATGTACATTTCTATATGGATAGGTGAGATAGTATTTTCCTCTATAAATAAAAATATAAAAAGTATTTAGTTATGTTGAATATAGTTCATTAACTATGAACTAAGAAAATGGATACCCATATGCATTGCTATTTTGGTTTTAATTCAGTGGATTCAGATGGCTATTACATTTATGTCTTTTAATTGTGCTCATTTTAATTTATTTATTTTCACATAGGTGAATTCCTCTATAACCTGGTGTTATAATGCTTTCTATGGAAAACTAAAAATTCAGACACAATACATAAGTGGTTCTATTTTTTAGTGGCTGGCCAGTGCAGGGATCTGAACCATTGACCTTTGTGTTATAACACCATGCTCTAACCAACTGAACTAACCAGCCAGCCCATTGTGTTCATTTTTAAAGAAAAAAAGTGGTCATTTCATTATCCCACTGTTTATTTTAAACAAACATAGATGTGTATGTAAAATTATTTTCAGGCCTTGACATTTTTTTTGGACTACAATAATATATGATCAGTATTTAAAAATTTTTTTTTTGCTAGAGTTTTAGCCTTTTTTTCATTGTTGTTTTGGCAGTTGGCCAGTGAAGGGATCTGAACCCTTGACCTTGGTGTTATCAGCACTGTGCTCTAACCGAGTGAGCTAACTGGCCAGCCCCTGCTAGAGTTTTAGAATGTGTCACCCAAGTGTATTACTGTGATCTTAAATGAAATACTGCAAAGTAAGTTACATAATCTTGATGAAAATTATTTTTGCCAGTGTAATATTAGAAAATAGACAAGCCCAAATGATAAATGATGTAGATTGTCATAGCTAATTGCACCTATTATGTAATTTTTAAATTAGAATTACTTTAGTAGGTTTCCTCCATGGGGGCTGGAGAGGGTGGCACATTACAGGCTAAGGTAATTTTACTTGTGGTCCTCTTTTACCTTCATATACTGTCAGAATGAAGTTTTGAAACTTTTATTTCACGATATTATTGTTTCTGGGATCACTGTGGATTTCGTTTTCAATAGCTGGCAGTTTCCTTTATTATTTATAAAGTGTGAATAATGAATTTATATGAAAAAAAATTTTTGCATATTGACTAGAAAAAATGTTTTAGTAAATAGTTATTGAAACCTATTATACATAGAACAATATGTTAGCTACTATGTGGGTGACCATATAAAGTACAATGCTATGTTTAAGGAGTTTATTATCTAGTAGGGATTTGCTAGAAGTATAATGGTAATATACTCAAGACATTTACAACCCTAGATATTCATCTATCAAACCCACAGAAAACTATACAGATAATATTTCATTAATGATAAAAGTGATCATTGAGATTAAACAACATATTTAAGATTTTGCAGCTGGTGAAGTGTTTGGCTTTGTATTTAGTGCCCTCTTCTCTATTTTGCTCTGTTTTGACACAGACTAACACTGAGCAAAGCTCCACATGAATGATAAGTTTTAGTACTTTAGGGTTGTTTCTAATCAAATATTTAGGAGGAAAACATTATGGAGAAACTAGATCTTTGAAAGATCAAACTAGAGGGGAGGAGAAGCAGAGCTAGGAAAAAGAAGAAGCATTCTAAGTAGATGGAAAAATATTAATACATGTTCAGAGGTCAGAATCTGAATTCTAAACATGGGCCCTTTGGGATGCTTTGTGAATGCAAGTTTAAGAGCCTTCTCTAAGTCCAAGCGTTATACGTTTTTTGTTTTTCTTTTTAAGTTTTTTTTTGGTGTGTGTTGCGGGGACAGTTGGCCAGTATGGGGATCCAAAATCTTGACTTCGGTGTTATAAGACCATGCTCTAGCTAGCTAGCTAGCTAGCCAGCCAGCCTTATATATATATATATATATATATATATATATTATTATTATTTTTTTTTGTGACCGGTAAGGGGATCGGAACCCTTGGCTTGGTGTCGTCCGCACTGCGCTCAGCCAGTGAGCGCACCAGTCATCCCTATATAGGATCCGAACCTGCGGCCTCGGCGCTCCCAGCGCCGCACTCTCCTGAGTGAGCCACGGGTTCGGCCCCTTATATTTATGTTTTGAAGAGGAGAGAATTTAGTTTCCTGATTTGCAAAAGAGCCCAACCTTAACTATCTTGTCCATGTCCCCGCATTCTGTTTCTTCCATGAGGAATCAAAGCTGCTTGTTACTGGTCTTTTGCTTACCCTGCATCTTATTTGTAAAGGATTTATTATATCTTTGGTGGTAGAGAAGGAGTATTAGGTTAAGACTCTTTATTAGGTTGAGACTCTCCGCAAAGTTGCTTGACTCTACCAGTGTATGCATAAATCTTTTGATGAAACCCATGACTCCATTTCAGTAGTTTATTATTTGCTTACAGGAGAATTTAACCATACATCTCTAATTTGTTTAAACCTTTATAGAAGTATTTTACCATTACTCTTTCACTCCTTTTGCGCCCCTTTTCTCTTTCTCTTGCGTCATGTTTGAAATATTTCTTAGATTTAACCTCTCCTTTTTTCTGTATTCACATTGCCACTTCATAATCTTGAATTACTACAGCAGCATCTCTGGGGTTTTTGAGTCATGGCAAGAGATGAGAGAGTGTCTTTCTCTCATCTTAGAGTGCTTGCTATATTCTTAACTTTTTCCTCATTTGTCAGTAGTCCTCCAAGGGTTGATGAGATGAATTCCTCAGGATTATATTAGTATTGGAGTTAATGATCAAATCTAGGTCAACCTGACTCCAATCCAGTGCTTGGTGCCTCGCTACTTACTTGCTTCATGTATCAATATCAAGTATGCCCAATATTGTTTTGCTAAATTAACCTTACTGTGGACCATTTTTACCATGTTGTTATTGTTCAAGAACTTGAAGGTCTGTTGTAGTAAACTGTGTGAAATAAATTTGGTACATCTGACCCCCAACTTGGCTTTTCAGCTACATCTCCTACTACTGTTAATATGCATCCTTTGCTCTAGTCATATCATTCATTTACCAAACCTGAAATATGTTATTATTTCTCATGTTTTCTTCATTCTTTTTATGTGCTTTATATCTTGAATGCTTTTGATCTGCTTGGTGAACATTCTCTAAGATCGGACTTAAATAGCTGTTCTCTATAGTCTTTCCCTGGTATACAGTGTTTCCAAAATGTTTCCATTTTGATAAATTGCATTTTAAGTTCATCTCTCTACCAGTCCACTTATCACAGTCGCTAATTAATTATTTATCTAGAGTTCTGTCTTCCATGAGACTGAATTTCTTGCAGGAAAAATTCCTGTCAAATTAATCTTTGTAGGGCCGGCCCAGTGGCGCACTGGATAGTGCGCCGCTTGGGAAGCGCGGCGGCGCTCCCGTCCGAGGGTTCGGATCCTACATGCGGACCGGTTCCCGCTCACTGGCTGAGCGGGGCGCGGGAGCAACACCGAGGGTTGCAATCCCGTTGCCGGTCCCTGGTCCGGTACGGGGGCAACACTGAGGGTTGCGATCCATTGCCGGACACGGAAAAAAAAGACAAAAGACAAAAAAAAAAAATTAATCTTGGTATCTCCAGTTTCTAGTATGGTGCCTGCTACATGATAGATCATGTACTGGATATCTCGCATGAGCAGAGTTGGCCCTCCATGTCTGCAGGTTCCACATTTGTGGATTCAACCAACTGTGGATCGAAAATATTTGGAAAACAAATTGGGTCTGTACTGAACATTCCCTAAACAATACAGTGTAACAACTACTTACATAGAATTTATGTTGTATTAGGTCTTACAAGTAATCTAGAGATAATTTAAAATATATTGGAGGATGTGCATAGGCAAATAGTAGGCCATTTTATTTTTTTTCCTTTTTGTCTTTTTTCGTGTCCGGCAACGGACCGCAACCCTCAGTGTTGCGCCCGTACCGGACCGGGACCTGCAACGGGATCGCAACCCTCAGTGCTGCGCCCGCCCCTCGCTCAGCCAGTGAGCGGGAACCGGTCTGTATGTGGGATCCGAACCCCCGGCGGGAGCACCGCCGCGCTCCCAAGCGGCGCACTGTAGCAGTGCGCCACCGGGCCGGCCCAAATAGTAGGCCATTTTATATCAGGGACTTGAGCCTTCATGGATTTTGGTATCCGTGGAAGATCCTGGAGCCAATTCCCCATGAATACTAGGGGGCTGACTATATTTTTTCTTTCTTTTTTCTAAAATTTCACAAGTCTTATATTTGCAGTAAAATAATGAGCTATTCTAAGGTAGAAATACCATTTTAACCTCACAATTTTACCACAGTACCTGGCACAGTTGATACCTGGACATGTATATTATTATAAATGGACTTGCTTATTGACTTGTGTTTTTCATAATGTTTACCAGTTTTGCTTTTGATGATGACTTGTTTCACTTTAAGGTCACTTAATCCATTTTTGAGTCATTTAGGTAGGTAAAATCTGCTAACATAGATAGTCTCATCTCTACTCCCAAGGGATGACAATCAGCAAAACCAGCTGAACTTCACAGACCAAGTTTTTTATTCTTATATCCTTTGTTAATAATATCTCTGGTTGATTTTTTAAACAGCTCTATTAAGGTACAATTTACATGTAATAAAATCCACTCATTTTAAATGCAAGTTGATGAATTTTGATAAATGATAATGGTTCTGTACACTCAGGCTATAGAATGTTTCCATCACTGCACAGAGATCCTTCATGCTCATTTGTGGTCATCCTCTCCGGCTACTCAAAGTTGTAGACAACCACTGGACTACTACTTTCTGTCACTATATGATTTTACCTTTTCTAGCATTTCATATAAATGCATTCATACAGAATTTATCCATTCACTAGTTGATGGACATTAATCCTTTTACCAACCAATGGTCATTTAGATTATTTTTGATGTTTTGCTATTATGAATAATGCTGCTGTGAACATTGGCATGCAAGTTTTATTGTGGACATATGTTTTCATTTTTCTTGGGTAGATAACGTAGGAGTGGAATTGCTGTCCTATTTGGTAAGTGTATGTTTTTAAGAAACTGCCAAATTGTTTCCCCACAGTGTTTTGCATTCCCCCAGCAGTGTATGACTATTCCAGTTGCTCCATATCCTCATCAGCACTTGGTATTGTCAGTCTTTAATTTTAGTCATTTGAGTGGATATGTAGTGTAATTGTGGTTTAGTTTTAATTTTCCTTATAACTAGTGATGTTGAGCATCTTTTCATGCGCTTTTAGGCCATTTGTGTATATTCCTTTGTGATATGTCTGTTCAGATATTTTACCTGTTTTCTTTTTTATTGGATTGTCTTTGGTTGTATTTGGTTATAAAGGTTCTTTATATATTTCAGATATGACTCCTTTGTCAGATATTTTGGAAATATTTTCTCCCAATGTGTGGCTTGCCTTTTCATTTTTAAAAACACTATCTTTTGAAGGGCAAAAGCTTTTAATTTTGAAATAGTTCAGTTGATCAATATTTGTCTTAATTGTTCATGTTATTTGTGTCCTATCTTAAGAAATTTTTGCCTAACTAAAGGTTATAAGGATTTTCTCCTACTTTTTTCTTCAAGAAGGTTTATAGTTTTAGCTCTACTTTAGATTTATGATTTATTTAATTTTTTGTATGGTATGATATTGTAGTCAAACTTTGTTTTGAATATAGATATCCAGTTTTTTAGCATCATATGTTGAAAAGACCATCATTTCCCTCCATTGAATTGCCTATGCATCTTTGTTGAAAATTAACTCTCTAAGTATGGGTCTTTATTTGGGTTTTTCTTTTTTATTGATTTTTATCAGGGGTTAGCACACTAAGGTCTACAAGCCAAATCTGATTTTGGACTGTTTTTGAAAATAAAGTTGTATTAGCACATGGCCATGCCCATTTATATAGGTATCAACTATGGCTGCAACAGCAGAGGCAGAGGCAGATTTCAGTAGTTGAGACAGAGACTGTGTTGCCAGAAAAGGTGAAAATACCTCTCTGGCCCTTTGTGTAAAATGTTTGAGAACCCCTTATCTATACATTTATCAGTATACTGTCTTGATTACTGTGGCTTTATAATAAGTCTTGAAATCATGTTGTGTAAGACCTTAAACTTTGTTCTGCTTTTTAAAGATGGGTTATTCTAGGGACTTTGTATTTCTTTGTACATTTTAGAATCATCTTGTCGGTTTATACAATACCCTGCTGGAATTTTGATATGGAATGCAATGAATCTGTCGTTAATTTGGGGGGAATTAATAGCATAAAAATATTAAGTTTTCCAGTCCATAAACATGATATAATCTCTCCATTTGTTTTGCTCTCTTTAATTTCTCTCAGCATTGTTTTGTTTTTAGTGTACAGGCTTTGCACATCTTTTGTTAGATTTATTCCTAAGTATTTTACCTTATTTATTGGTTCTACTCTAAATGAAAAAAAAATTTCATTTTCCAATTGTTGCTGATATAAATACAATTGATTTTATGTATTGACCTTTTATACTGTAGCCTTGCTAAATTCACTCTCCTACATTTTGTAGATGCTTTAGGCTTTTCTGCATATATGATCATATCATCTGTGAATAAAGACAGTTTTACTATTTTACAGTGTCTGCCTTCATTTTAATCTTGCCTTAATTCACAGGCTATTTTAACAAAAGTATTGAGAGCAGACTTTGTTGCCTTATTATTGGTCTTTGGTAGAATCATTTAGTTTTTCATCCTTAAGGTTCACTGTAGGTTTTTTTGAATGCCTTTATCAGGTTAAGGAAATTCTTTTTTATTTCTAGGTTGCTGAGATTTTTAAAAACAATATTGACTGTTGGATTTCGTGAAAAGTGTTTTCTGCATGCATTGATAATCATACTTTTTTTCTCCTTTATTCTGTTAACATGGTGAATTACATTGACTTTTGGATGTAAAACTAACTGCATTCTCTGGTAAAGCCTATTTGGTCATGACGTTTTATTTTTTAATATTGTTGGGTTTGATTTGCTAATAAATTAAGGATTTTTGCATTAATATTTATGAGAGATGAGGTCTATAGTTTTCGTGTGATGTCCTGGTTTGCTTCTGGTATCAGAATAATACTGGTTGTGAAAAATAAGTTGGGATATGTTTCCTACTCTATTTTGAAAGAGTTTATACAAGATTAGAATTTTTTTTTTAATCTTAAATGTTTGATAGAAGTTAACTAGGGAAGCAATCTCTGTTTTAAAAGACTTTTAAATTTTATTAGTAGCTTTATTATAAGAGATTCTGTTTCTCCTCAACTAGTTCAATAAAAGACACTTTCTCTGCACAAATAAATTCGAAAATACATTGGGCTTTATCCTTCTGATTTTTTGTTATATGTGAAAGCGGTATTTATGAGAAGTCGAGAGCCAGCCTTTCTGGCTGCATACTTGAGACATAATTGGGAAATAATTTTTATTGTTATGTTTTGGCTAAATGTTTAATATGACCTTCTTATAAAATATTTGATTGCTTTGCTATTACATCTTTATTTTTTGTTAATTTTAGGAACTTAAAAGGAGTATACAAAATTCAACAGAAAGGAGAATGGAAGGTCAGAATTCCCAGAGTTCTCAGCAGGTCTCACAAGGTCTCAACACATGCTCAGAGCAAAATGGTCATGTTCCTGCACTGCCAGATGCACAACCACTTCTGCAGTATGGTAATCCTTATGCAGCACAGGAAACAAGAGGTTATTACAGTATTTGTTTTTGGGGGCTAGCTAAATTTGGAGATTTTTTTGTTTATCTTTTCATGAGGTTACTGAACTGCTGGTAAAATGAACTCTAATAGAAACATTATTGTATTTGTATAATTAGCAATTTTAATGTTTAACACTGTGACTGTCTTCATCTACAAGTGATGCTCCATGAATGAGTAGTCTGTTTTCTTATTACATACAGTTCTCAATTTTTAAAATCACCTGGGTTAAAAATAAAAACATCAATTTTCTTGATATACCAAAGTGATTCTTTATATCCTATTCATCATATCTATACACAGAGATACTGATTTTAGTAACTGGCTAACTGGCTTCCAAAATTTTTATTACAGATGGAGCAGATGGTGCTTTTTACCCAGATGAAATCCAAAGGCCACCTGTGAGAGTCCCCTCTTGGGGACTGGAAGACAATGTTGTCTGCAGCCAGCCTGCTCGAAACCTTAGTCGACCTGATGGTTTAGAAGACCCCGAGGATAGCAAAGTAAATTGAGTTTCTGTTGAGCCTGTGCCTTTTATTTTGTCTTATGTAAAGAGCTAAGAGTATATGTATGTGCATGTGTGTATGTATGTTTGTGTGTGCATGCTTAGGTGTGCACATAGTTGCCTGTTTTTGGAAAAATCTTCTTGTATTCAAATTTGAAAAATCAACCATTGTGCGTCAGACTTATACTTTAGGATTTATATATTAAATGATTAGTTAAGAGAATGATCTCAGAATATTGTAGTTATAGTTTAATCGTAATCACTTAACTAAGTAACTTAACTACATTGTTTTGATTGCAGATGTACTAGGTTGGGAGAAGCAAAGTGTTACAATATTATGTTTAAATCTTCATCTTTTCATTTTAGCATTTATTCTCACTTTCAATTTTAAGGTGGCCTGTATTATCTTTAGCCAGAAAGAGAGACGTTTATGTATTATATAGTTTTCTTTTTCAGAGAAATACTCTTTTAAACATGTAGCATTTCTTTTTTTTTTTTGGCAGCAACACAGTACTGATGATAATTGAATTACTTTATATAGCATGTCATTTTTTAATTTCATTTGAGATTTCTTCACCGTTTAATAAATACGTTTGTTTCCTCAGAGCAGCTCTTTTTGGAAAATAGGTTTCTTCATAGCAGTTCTTTTTGGATTTCCTGTGCATTAAGATGAATTTAAAAGATATGCTTTATTGTGCTCTTTGCAAGTACGGTAGTATCATGACCTGTTCCTCATTTAGTCTAGTTTGCTGCATTTAATTGCTATTAACCTTTGCAGAAACTGATCAGTGTTCAGACAGGCATGATTTTAGCCCTAGTGCTCAACACCCATAATGGAGAAAAATGTATCTCTCCCTCCTGCCTTTTGGCCTCCTGTGTCCATTGCTGGGAATAATTAGGAAAACTGTCAGAACTTTGTAGCCTGTTTAAGGTCTGGAGTATCATCTGACTGCTTTTTCACACCTTCAATTCACATTTTGCATATTTAGTCTGATAATTCTTGGCACAGGTGTTAGATGTGACAAGCCCTTCTTTTCCACAGTCATCTCCTTCAGTTTAATTAGCAGAATGTTCTTTCTGATCTGTGTGCTTTGTCCTCCTGCAAACCCATGAGAAGCATTGTTAGAGTCTTGTGATCATTTGCTGACATACTTAGATTTGGTAATGAGATGGGAGGACTCTTAATACACACACCTTGAGTAATGGTATTTTGCAATAGGAAGATTTTTGACATTATACAGTAATTTTTATGTACATTCAGAACTTTAAAAAAATTCTTATTATTATAACAACAAAAATCACTTGCAGATGAAGTGTTTTAGTAGTTTTTAGTGAGAATATGGAAAGCAAGTTTGAGTTGACGTATTCCTTCTCTGTTTCTCTGCCCTGAGAGTGATTAGCGGCCACAGGCCGCAGTACCTTTGAGGCAGTGTTGAGTTGAGGCAGCCTGCCCTTCCAGCCTGCCCATTGCCTACACCTGTCATATCTCCTCCCTTCTGCACCTGAAACTGTGGCCAACTGTCAGATGAAAAGCCTTTTATGGTTTCCTTTTACCTAATAATTACAATAACTATAACATCATAATTAAAATGATTGGTGATAGCAGTAGATATTTCTGTAGGTCTGTTTGCCAGCTAATGCTAAGCTCTTTAGATAGAGTAAGTCAGTTCTTCATGACAGTCCTATGAGGTAGGAACTATTACTATCACTATTTTATAGTGGGGGAAACCAAGAGACAGATTAAATAGCTTGCAGCTGGTAAGGGATTTGGACCTCATCAGTTTGGCTGTAGAAGCTGCAGTCTTAACCTCCTATTAAATAGACTAACCCATGGGCCGAGCCCATGGTGCACTCGGGAGAGTGCGGTGCTGGGAGCGCAGCAGCACTCCCGCCGCGGGTTTGGATCCTATATGGGGATGGCCGGTGCGCTCACTGGCTGAGTGTGGTGTGGCCGGTCTCAAAAAGGACAAAATAAATAAATAAGTAAATAGACTAACCCAGAAGTTTCCCGTACCGTACATTCTCAGTTCATGGCGCCCTTAGCATCTCAGTAATTCTTTCTTCACAGAATCCCATAGGCCAAAAGAAATACCTAACTGTTAAGTGTTTTTCTCCTAACAAATTTAATAACCATAGCACACACAAATTGAAAGAAAATATTTTGATTTCATTCTTAACCACAGTTACTAATGGAGTGTATGTGACGGTTGGCCACTGTACAACTTCTCAAGCCTTGGAGTCAGATTGGATAAGCCATCCTGTTTCACACTGATTTTCACATGACACTTGCTCTGAATCACAGCAACCGCCAAAAACCCTCCTTCTCAGAGATATCATTGAAAGGAATGTAGCATTATCTAAAGTTGAAACTGTGAGCTAGTTGTTCATGTAGTATTTGACAAATGTTGAGTATTTCTGTGTATTTCTGCATATTTATTATCCTTAGAAAATTACAATTATCCCACAGTACCTCTCTGAATTTGCTGTGGTGGCCTAGGGGGTAAGAAGGATTTCTTAATTTAATAATTTAGAATTGTTCTAAATAAACAGATTTCAGTATGGAATTCCCAGTAGAATTTGCTTACAACGTTATTTTAGCAGTTTAGCTAAAATATCAGGTACTGATACTTTAAAATCTGCCATTAAATCCTTGTGGGTTTGCAACTTTCAATGCTGAAACTGATAATAATAATTTTGAGTGGAAATCTTTCTAAATTTTTTAAAATTAGAAATTTTAATAATTTTTAAATTTTTAGAAATTTTATATCTTTCTAAATGCATGATTCTCTGCCTTCTTAAAGAATGCTTAATATAACCTTGATGATTAAATGATGTCATCACATTTTTTTAAGATGTATAGTGAAGCTTTGTGATCCAATGCTGAAATACTATTGGATATTTTGAATTCTTGTCTTGCTTTTCTCTTTTTCCCAGTAGCCATTTTTTGGTTGTTGATAGTTTGCCTGCTTTAATAGCCTCACTTCTAAATCTAATTTGATATTTTTGGTCTACTATGGTTTTGGAAACTAATTAACCACGCTTGATGAGAAAAACAGAATAAATGTACTCTTAAGTGAAGATTTGACTCATCATTTTACATATCAGTATCATGAGAGACTTTATTATATGAATTGGCTACTTAGAGGACTTACTGCATACTTTCTGGTTTCAAAAATTCTCTGAGTAGGTGATTTCTTGTTTTCTTTAATGAGAACTTGTTATATCTCATTATAACATCTAAAATTCTACTCTTGAGTCCATCTTCCCTCTTATTAGGTAGTAGGTGGTAGAAGATAAAATAATAGTGTTATCATTGCCATCTTATACGTGGTTTAGAAAATATAAATTGCTTTTAACCTTTTTTCTCTTCCAGGTATTTAATGAGCTAGGTTAATATGTCTGATAGGTTGTGTCCGAGTCTGGTACTTTACCTAGGAACAGACTCTACTGCTAGTTGATTCATGGAAGCAGTAAATTGGTGTAAGATATTAGCTGTTATAAAATAGGGAAGGGAGATGATGAGATTTTTGGTTCCATTATATTTTTGGTCCTTAGAAAGTTTATATCTGTCATCAAGAATTCTAAAAAGTAGAATATCAAGACCTGCCCTATTTTATCTTTTCCCATTATTCAGTGTTTCAAAATTTTGAAAAATTCTTTTTCATTTTTCAAAGCTGAATGGGAAAATCGTGTCCATTATCATTATTACTATTACGTAGTTGTTTAAGCAGACTCAGTGCTTCAGATATGGTTACTGGAAGGCTTAAATCTGGGAGCTAGAGTAACCTGGCACAGAATCAAAATTTACTGTGTTGTACATACTAAGATTGAACTACTGTATCATCTTCCTTCTTTGTACCTATAAATTTAAAAGCTGTCTGGATTTTAGTAACTTGAAGATTTAATTTTTGAAATATGCAGAGTACTTTTATCTCCCAATCCCTCAACCCCCCATTAGGTTTTCTGTCCTGTGAGAATTATATATGTAAACAAAAGCAATTTTGCCAGTTAGCTCAGTTGGTTAGAGTATGGTGCTGATAGTAACACCAGGGTCTAGGGTTCAGTCCCTGTACTGGCCAGCTGCTGAAACAAACAAAAAAAGCATTTTCTTATGTGGTGAATATGAAAAAAAAAAAAGCCTCTCACCCCTTTTTACCTTTCAAGGGGGGAGAATTGTCAGAATGATAGCCAAGTGCCACAATAAAAGAAAAAAAAAGATGCTCAATTTGTCTTTTGTTTATTCATTCACTTCACATTTCATACCACATACACTTTTTTGATACTTCTCTCATTGACAGACTTCACTAGCCCATTAATAGCAGCTCTGGGGCAAACATGACCACCCAGCAATGTAAGTGTTTTCATTCATGCCTGCTACACCTGGTTCTATGCTGTTTATGACACAAGAGCAGCTAACAATTGCTGAGAAGAGAACCAATAGGCAACTTAGATGATGTGGCTGCTTTCAGTGTTGAATGACGTTGTGTTTGACTGCAGGTACAGATCTCTAAAAACTGACCATTGGGATGCAGGCATGGGAATCTAAATCAGTGTCTTCTTTCTGATTAAAACTCAGATTTACAGATTTTTAGACTTCTCACTTGACAACCTGTTAATCAAAAATTCAGTTTTGCATTTTATTCTTCCACAGCAGGGTTTTGAGGCTCATCATTTGGTGCATTGCTTTGCTTTAACATGTGTTTTCCAGTTGGATTTGCCATTGTGTGTGCCCAAGAATATACACAGACATACTCACACGTATTTTGCTTTATAATTTCTGTATATTGTGCAGTGGGTGTATCTTGTCAAGGAGACTCTTTATTGCAGATTGTTAATAATGAGAATTGGAACAATAGTAATAGTCTTAATGTTTATGAAAGTGTTCACTCAGTCTATGGAATGATACAAAGTCAGTAAAATTACCTTACATGTATAGGTTTGAAAAGTTCTACTGGTCTCAGCTTCATTTGTACATAAAAGTGTGGTGTGTCTGCATTCCACTGAATACTGCTTTTCATTTCAAGAAGGTCAGACTGTTAGTCCATAGTGAAATATTCTGTAAAGTTTACTTTCAAACATATATTTATGTGAAAGTCTAATTAAATGATAGTAGAGATAAAATTTCTTCTAAGTTTAATCATACTTCCTTTATACTGTCAATATGTGCTTGATTGAATTAAGGAATTTCTATATTCACTTTTCTCAAAAGTTGCATAATTGTTCTTTGCCTAGGAAGATGAGAATGTGCCCACTGCTCCTGATCCTCCAAGTCAGCATTTACATGGGCATGGAACAGGCTTTTGCTTTGATTCCAGGTAATTTCTTTTCTTTCCTCTGTCGAATTTGGGTTATTTATATAGACCAGTGGGTCTCAAACAATGGTCCCTGGGAATTTGTTCAAAATGCTTATGCTCACAGCCTGGCCTATTGAACCAGAAACTCCAGGTAAGGCCCAGCAGTACATGTTGTAACATGCCCTCTGCTGATTCTGATGCATGTGATCCTTGCAGAACCAGTGCCGTAAAAACTCTAAGCTGTTAAACCAACTGAGCACTGTTGGGAAATTGAGTTGTATTCATAGTTTTTACAAAAGGCTTCTATTAAAAATTGAAGAATTCTTGGTATTAAGCTATTTTAATGAAAGAAGGGTTTCTTTGTCAATCTAATTGTAAAATTAAATTTAGAGGCTTTATAAATGGGTTACACAGTTGTTTATAGCAAGCATTTAGAAGCAGAAAAAGAAGTTTCTGGAGTAACTAAAGACTTTCAGAGTAAGTTGTGTAGTATGAACATCAGCTAACTAGATAAATGTAACCTTGTCATATACTGACAATTACTGCTGTTACAGATTTATTAGAAATATGTAATTCTTTCATTTTCTTTTTTCTTTAAGCTTTGATGTTCACAAGAAGTGTCCCCTCTGTGAATTAATGTTCCCTCCTAACTATGATCAGAGCAAATTTGAAGAGCATGTTGAAAGTCACTGGAAGGTGTGCCCGATGTGCAGTGAGCAGTTCCCTCCTGACTATGACCAGCAGGGGTTTGAGAGGCATGTTCAGACCCATTTTGATCAGAATGTTCTAAATTTTGACTAGTTACTTTTTATTATGAGCTAATGCAGTTTAGCAGTTAAAAACAAGTCACCTGAAATAGACCACTGAGGAGGCCACCAGATGTCACTTTCATGCACCCTCTCCTGTACTTTTCTGACCAAGAGTTTCTTTGAGTTTGGTGTTACTAGGGTCAGGGTCAATCTTTGGCTTATCAATAAATATAATTTTAACCTCTCTCAATCCTACCTGCTTTAAGAAAAGAAGTTCTTGTGTGTTTATATCTTTATTTATTCCCTAGTTTGCAAAATTATATGAATAAAGGATACAGGGATTATTTTAATGTTACTGCACTGAAAAAATATGTATAGCGTGCTAGATTTAGCAGAATATTTACAAGTTTCTGTGACCTTGTTGATTGAGCATGACTACTAAATATTACGTAATAAAAAGCATTATAACAATCTCGGGAAGTAATTCTTCGAATACAGAAAGTTCCACAATTTAGTCCATAATTTAGTTTTTAAATCTTCTTTAGAAATGGAGCTGCATTGTAGAATGAGATCACATGCTTGCAGATATCCTTTTTATATGTGAAATGTTGGCTTTAGGAATTAATAGATGGCATATTTTGCTAATTTTATGACAAAATTTTTTAGAATAACCTGAATGATTATTTTAAAACCATCTTGAAACTGTACTTATACCTAATGGGAAAGTGGAACAAGCTATGTCAGTATAATTGTTATGATCTCATGACAGTGGTGTTTGTGGCATAAGACACAGAATACGTATCAGTATCATTTTCACATTTTCCTGATGAGAATATAAATTTGAAAAAATTCTCAATAAGTGTATGTAAAAAATGTAAGTGCATTAACCCAAATCAATCAGTGTGTTTCTTTAGTTATGTCTCTGCTGTATAGAACTCTCATTAACATTAAAGAGGACGCATTTTTGGAGGTCTAATTTCATTGTTGTCAAATTTATTTGTGGTAGTTTTTTATTAACCTAGCATCTTGAGTATCTTTTCTTTGGTTTGGGCTTTAAAAACTTCTGAACTGAATTCCTTTCTCTTTTATAATGTAAATGTTAAAAATTTAAAATACTGACTTGATTTCTCTGCTTTTGTTGTTATCAAGATGTTTACGCTTGTTCGGAGCAAACTAGCTGTTTAAGATGTTAACCTAATCAGACTTGGTGACATTTTGGGTGTTATGTGTGAACTATATACATATCATGTCACTTGTATTTTATTTGTAGGAACAGAATTTGTGTATTGTTGGACTCCTTTAAAAAGGTTTTTGAGTCTAGGGCAAACTGGTATTAGGCAGCAGCATTGAAGACTTCATGTCTCAGCTTCCTGATATGTTCTATGACAGGCAGAGGATATTTAGGTCAAATGTGTTCAGCAGCATGAGCAGTTAGTAACTTGGACCCTGCTAACCTAAAAGTATCCTTTGACTATTATAGCACTACTGTTTGTGAAGTAAGACTGTTCAGCTTACTAGCCTAGAACTTCTTTTTAAATAGTTTTTGGCCCCCAGCTTATGATAAGTAATTTGTTATTGATAGAAATCTAACTGCAGTAACTGAATTCTGTAAAATAGGCAGTCGAAGATAGAAGGCAGCACTGAGCATGGATAGGTTAGTTCCCGTGGTAAACTTGATACTGGTTTTCATAATGGACACTAATGAAAATAAAGAGCCATATTTATTTGGGTCAGAGGCAGTTTATTTGAAATGTGATTTTGTTTACATTTATAAGCAGCTTTTCTTGACAGGAATTTTGATTAATTTGCCTTCAGTTCTAAAACAAGCCTCTGTTGCTTTCAAACTTTTAATGTGCTCTGTCCCCAACAAAACATATGAAAATATAATTTAAAGCACAGTTTTCACAGACACAGTACAATACATTCACTATACACGGTATAACAAAATATTCCCATCCTTACCTGTTTAGTAATACTGTCACAATGAATAAGTAAATAGAAATTGGAATTTGTTTTATCGAAAGAAATTTAACATGCACAATGACTATTTTATGACTGTTTAGCTGTTGAACTACTGATCCAGCCTGCAGTTTTTTACACTAGAAGGAGCGAAGCTAAATAATTGTTGGCCTAAAAGTTTTTTTTGGTGGGTAGACAGGAAATAGCCAAGTAGGGCCATCTTACGCACCAACTAGTTGCTTCTCATGTCTGGATCACCCTTTTTAACACACAGGATAACATTGTATATTCAGGACCAAGACCACTCTTCAGAGATGTGAGGAAATTTTTAGAGGGCAGTGTCTTTATAAATTCTTTAAAATCCATCCCTCATTTTGAGGGATTCACAACTTAGGAATATAGAAACTTACCCATCTGGCTAACCGAACTGTCATCCTTTCAAAATGTCTGAAGAACTGAGGAGGGACCCTACTTCACAGCTGTGTGTGAGACTTTTCATCAGATGGGAACATGGGAAGAAACTGATTTTATAAGCAGTTTGAGTTTGCTTTTCACCAGTTTGTTTAGTGGGCAGTTGGCTGTCTCAAAGCAATTTTTACCGCATACGTAGGCAACTGGTAAACTCATGTTTAAGGAATAGCACTTGGGAGAAAAGAATACTCAAGGCATGATGGTACTGTTGGTGAAGAAAACTTCAGGAATGGTTCAGGTGTAGGTTACTCTAACAGGTCATGCGAGTCACTCTTCTTGGACCACCTGCTGCAAGAAGCACTTAATTGTCAATAAGGCTCATTTTCATATTTCAGCAAAATGTTTTATAAAGCTAAATAGACATTTCTGGTGAGAATGCAGACATCTACAGTGTGATGGTAAAAGTGCCTTTAAAAAAAAAGTCTCAAAAACAAAATGAGCGTGAAGAGGCAATTGGGGGGCGGGGGGAGGGGTGTCTTAACAAAAATGTTCCTCTTTGAAACGTGCTTGGAATTTTAATTCTGATTTGCAACTCACAGGTTTGTTAGGGCAGTGGTTGCAAGAATTGGCAACACATAAACATTAAATTGTTGGCAATAGAGAACTACAAAGTGCTTTAAGACTTCATCCGAAGATGGAAGATACAACTAAATTTCACACACAGAAAATTCGCACTTAAGTATTTCAAAGTGTTTCCTAACAGATTTCCAGGACAAGTATTTCACTAAACTGGTATCTTGGTCCACAAATATCAATAAGCATAAACTGAATCCCCTGCACTCAGCAGGAACTCAATGAATGTGTGTTAAATTAACAAATGAACTGAAATAGACTATTTTGTACAAAAATGCCATTTGTAACACTAAAATGATTGGTAAGTCAGATGGCAAGATTTTCAGCTTTTTAAAGGGCAAAAGGATTTGCAAGAAAATATAAAACAAAGCACACATTTTACGTATGTTATTTAAATATGAAAATACTTTTAGCATATTATGTTAAACATTCTTTCTTATTTATATTTCCATTACCTAAAGTCTTTCTACTCACAAATACTAACTCCATTATGTAAGGCATGGTAACCAGTTTGACAATGAAGGTATTATTTTGGTTTCGAACATATGTGAGTTGAGGTGTTGAAAAACTTCAATCACATTACAATCTTGAAAAAAACTCAGTGCCAACCCCTCCTCCCCCCACTTGCTATCACTGCAGTACGACTAAATGATGCGCAACATGCCTTCAATTTTATTTTGTTTTGGGGGAAATGTGCTGAAGGACCTAGAGCTTTGTTTAGCACCTTATATCAAAGTAATGAAAATGGGTATGATGATTACATGTGCAAATGTACAAAATCATTAACTCTACAAAGATACATCATTCCAAAATTACAGAAAAAATTTAAAGCATGCATTTAAATTTTTCTTTAAAGGGTTGCTGAATGCTTCCCCTGAAAAAAAGGTGGCTGTTTTCAAAATCAGCAACTGCTGGTGAGGGTTTCTTGGCACAGTTATGACCAGCATGTTATTGCTGCATCTTCCTGATAATCTCAGCCGACACTGGGGGATGGAAGTTGATTGTGTGGTGCCGCAGGCCCTGAGCTGTCTTGTAACTCTTCCCACACCGACATTTGAATGGTTTGCGGACACGAATCTGTGTTCTGTGACCATTCTTAGCATGGTACTTTATGCCATTCACATTCTGTGGAAGAGACAAAAATATCACTCATTAGATGAAGTCACAGAATGAGTATCAAACTTGGGAAAACCACAGTGTGAGTTCAGATTTCAGGTCCTGGATGGAGCTGTTGACAGAGAGGAGGCTTCTGCATGGCCTGCACTTATGACCCTATAGGGACAGTCTGGTGTGTTCATCATGGGCTGTACAGACAGGGTCATACACACAGCCAATGTAAGAAAATTTCAAATATGCCTCAATTATTCTGAAAATGAATACCAGTTTCTTAAAATTTTACACACAATACGTGTTTAGAATTCTCAGACTGTATAAAGAAGATTAAGTAGGCACAGCTCCCTCTGCCTAGAACTTTGTTTCCTCTGTGAACCTTTTTTCTACTATGAAGAGAGTTAACAATAAACAGTCCTATAAGAATATCCTCCAGATGACCAACAAAATACTTTTCTAAAGGGGAAAAAAAACAGGACAAATCTCAGAGCTCAAGACCTGTGTAACAATATTTTTGATTTGGGAATTCCGTTTACATCTTGTTTCCAGGCTACTGTGATCATAGTTCCCTACTGCACGTTAGCTAGAATTTCTGTCTGTTTTCTGCTCTGCATTAAGACAGTGTCTCTGATGCCATTGTGGGAGCTACTTGTTGCCCAAATCCTGCCCTGCCCAGCACAGTTGCATGTGTGAAATAAGCATGTATGGACAGCCTAGGCCCTAACTTTATTTAGGTATTCCATTCCAAACATACAAGAACTTCATAACATTTTAGGTTACTTATATAATGTTATTCCTAGCGACAAAATGCTAAGACTGGATTTCTTAGCATCCGGATTATCAGAATGCTTTCTGGATTTCTATTGATTGGTTTTGCTAGCTCACTAGCAAATCTGTGTAAGACTTCATTCCTAGATTTCACTCTACAGATTTAACGAACAGTTAATATTGCTCATCCCAATTAAATGGTGAGGAAACAGGCTCAGAGTATTAAGTTACTGGTGGAAAATTTAAGAATAAACGGCAGAGGTGGTATTTGAACATGGCTCTTAATTTCCAGTCAGCTATTGCCAGATCAGCAAGGGAATAGAGAAGAAACGGCTAGTGACATGAAGTTGTTAAGCACAAACTACTAGAAGAGTGGGCTGTTTACTAAAATATCTGAATGCAGTACTACTGGACCCAGTCCCACGCCCAACTAAAGGATTTCAACACAGTCGTCTTCCTACCTTCACAGGGCGCCCTAAGTGGGCTCCCAGAAAGCAGGGGCTCTCTCTCCTGCTGATGCTGCTGCACAAAGCTCTAGTGCAGTGCCTGGCACATAGCAGATGCTCAATAGGTTTTTGTGAGTGAATGAGTTGCTATTAAAAATATGTGGTGGTATCACTATTACATTTCCCTCTTAGAGATTTGTAGTGCTTGCCTTTGTTGAACCCAGGGGTGCCAAACAGCCACCAGTGGCTTTGCTCAGAGGCTGAAGGTTGTCCAGTGAGTTGAAGCAGACGGACAAACACACTGAATTTGTTTGTTTGAAAACAAACCCTGAATGCCTGACTCTGGACTATCTGCACCTTCAGCTTTGTCCTTCCTATGTCACTCCTCTGCAGAACGAGGCAGCACCTTGCCAGTCTTGTTAAGAGGCATGTTGGGGGATCAGAGCTTGCTGAGGCAGGATCAGACCCAACACGATGTTAGGTGGGTACATATGCCCTGCCAGTCCTTAGCTGTTCCAGCCATCCCAGCTGAGGTCCAGGCATGTGAACCAAGTGGCCAACTTGTATATCTAGCCCAGCTGAACCTTCAGATGACTCCAGCCCTGGCTGGCACCTTACAGCAACCGCATGAAAGATCCCAGGCAAGAAC